AAAACACAAAAATGTGATTTTTTTGCAGGAGAAAAGCTGCAGCAGCGTTTGGCCTGGATGTGGGAATAGACTGGTGAGACTTTGGACAGATGTCAGCTTCAGCAATGGCATATCACAGTGTGACAGCCCTGTGCTCACATACTTGAGTACTTAGTGTGTGTTGCTGATCTCGGAACTGCTCAGTACTCAGAAGGGACTCGTACACAGAGGCTGAGGATTCTGATGCATGGAGGAGAAACTTGTGTTCAAGAATGAGGTCAGGTGCTTAGACAGGGGCTGAAAGTTGTGTCTGTTTGGACTTTATTTCTCTGGAGCCTTACAGGAATGTGGATTTTGACAGAGAACCAGAGTGCAACACAAGCAGAAGGTAAATAACAGGTTTTGAGCCTGGGTTGTTGTGGCTTTTTTTTCCTTCCCAAGTTGTATTGGTGCATATTACCTGGACACAATGTCTTATCGGTGCTAATACTGGGACAGCTGTAGTATTTCTGTATTAATGATCGCTATTCATATAACCTACTGGTGACAGTAGTGGGAAGTGGAAGGGAAGGCTGTGGGTATTGTATAAGGAGCTTATCTAATTACAAAGCAGGAGGGGACATCTGGAGGGGAGAATCAGCAATTGTAAAAATGGGCTGCTTTGTTTAACAACAATGAAGAAAGAATTGAGTCATTGGACAAATTATGACTGCTAACTTTCTGGAGGTGAAAAGATGACTTAAGAAATGAGAATTTCAAGAAGGCAGACTGAGTGATGCTAAGAGGAAAGGTTGAATTGTAATCAGAATGGTGAAGCTGGTATGAAGTACAGCTTGTGATTATTAACCTATTTTAAAAAAAACCAAACGGTTTTAATAATAATAAAAAGCTAAGTTATAGAACAAGGCTTTTTAAAAGAAATACAGCTGGGACAATGGCAAACAAACTAATACTTTAGGTTATGATAATTAAAATAACCATCCCAGATTTAAAACCAGAAAGGATTCCAAAGAAGGTGAAAGAAGCTACAAAAAATGAAGAATTTGTGTACTAAATGTTTAATAAGTAGTCCAGAAGAAGCCTCTTGTATTTCTAATATTATTTTATTCTTTAAAGACTGTATGCTTTCTGTTGGTTACTGAATAAACTAAGGGAGAACTTAAAAATCAATATGTCAGTAAACATGGAGGTCAAACTGAGTTGAGAAGGAATACTCAGTAGTGTAATAGTATGTCGACTTGAAAATAAATACTAAGTTTTCAATTCAGATGCCTGGTAATCAGTCCAATCAAGGGCACCACACAGTAAATATTTTGTTTGCTGCTTTAGTACCTTGAACTGTTTTTAGCTTACTCTATGCTTGGAGCAACTCCTGAGTTTTTTCTTGCATGATCTGAAGTAAAATTGCCCTTTCATGACAAGTGAAATGGAAACCAATTATCTAGCAATTTCAAGAAAACAAAAAGTACACAAAGATTAAGATACCTATCTTAAGCTTCTCAAACACACAAGACTTGAAATGCAATCTTTTTTGGTATGATGCAAGACCTTCCTTTCTAGTTAGATAGCAAAACCCACCACACCGGTAACTCCCACGCCGTTCCCGCTGATAATCAAATATCTTAGCTCCTTCAAATACTCTACATAAATATTATTTGGCAGTGGTAGAGATAGTCAGTTATCCCTGAAAAACTACCTGATCGTGTCCTTAGATAATCACAAACCTGCTTGAGCAATATAAATCCAGTTTATAGTAGTTGCGAGTAGTACATGGGCACTGGCTTACAACAACAGTAGTAAAATATTAACAGAAGTGCCAGAGCAGTGATCTCTGACACTTTATGAATGCTAGAACTGAGCAGCGTTGTACCCTTTTTCATCCCTAATGAGTAACTGAGGATGCTGAGGTGGTAGCAAAGAAATCCCTTGTGAGCTCTCCATGCCATAGTCTGTTCTTTGGCCGCTGCCGAGGACAGACTGGGCCAGATGGACCATTTGGTCTGACCATCAGGTGTCTGTGTTCTTCCCTCCTGCCTTCTGGCAAAAGATAAGAATCAAACTTTCCAGCATGACAAGAATGGTACTTATTTAAATGATATCCAGCCAGCTGAGAAAGTAAATGTACTATGTCATTACTTACTAAACTTATACAGGCTGTGCGATTAGTAGGAAATAAACACATTCAGATATATTTGTTCAGTTTCAGCTTTTGATTCTGAGCTCTCAGCTTCAAAGGACTATTCTCAGAATGCTGAAGTAGTACTTAAACTGTCTACTTTTTTGGACTGGTGGAACACAAGAAATCGGAAATAATGACTTTTATCTTGCCACTGAATTTTTTTCCTGTGCACTCAACAAAATATAGGCTTATTAAGGAAGTTAGGGAATGCACAGCATTTGATATCCCTGTTTACAGAGAACAGCTTATGTCTACAAAGTCAAGATTTTTCTGATAAGCATATCCGCAGTTTTCCCTAATCTAAGTTCTTAGTTAAGCATATCAATTATACCTTAGTAAAGGCATAGGCCATTGTACACATTTGAGGCATTCCAGTTTAGTAAAGATGCAACTCTTTGCAGAAGTAATTTTTCCACCCACCTTCTCTGTGGTGTTTTTTAAATATGTAAAAGAGTTTGTAAATTATCTCTACCCCTTATCACTTAAAATCAATTAACACATTTAAAATGTTCAATACAGGCATAGTTTTGTTCAGTCATCTTATTGCTTAGAAGCTCTGTGGGGCTAACTGCAAAAGTATAGGCAATATAAATGAGTGCTTAAATTATATATTACATGTTTATTAGGGGTGCAATTTTTTTAAAATTTACATTTTATGAAAAATCAGAAGTATTTACATTTTTTGTAAGATAAACTTGTATGCTCTAATTTACAGTCTGATGGAATAACAATTCTTAAAAATTCAGATCCTTTAGAGTTGTGTTTACAAATGAATTTTCTTAGGAGGCAGCTACAACAGATATTGCTGTATACACAAGCAAGAACCAGCTTGCTACATATGTTTTTTTTAATCAGATAGTGACATGTACTTTTTACATTGTGTTGGAATTTCTTTACAAAAGGTCTATATAAACTTGTATGGCTTCAAAATTGTAACCTGCACCCAATGCAAATGTATGTATAATCACCTGAATGAAGGCTAGTTTAAAAGTGCTGAAACATAACTACTTCATTTAACTTCGACATGAAAGTAATAGTTGATTAAAAATAACAATACAGTTTTGGGTTTTCATTAATAAAGTATTGTCATGTTAAACACAATTGAACTGCAAAGCAGATTACAATTAAGATTTCAGTAAAAAGACTGTACCATTTTATGAGTTAGAAACTTAGCATTCAAAAAGATTAGCAAATTAAGAGCCAGACTCTTCCAATCAAACCTGCAGTACAGTATATGTGCTTAGTCCTAATAACAAAATTCTCATCTGCAAAAGTGTGTAGTATACATTAAAATTTAGGTAGCCTCTACGAAACTTAATTTATTGTAAAGCTTCAGCAGTCCAATTCTTTACTGGTTCTGCATGAATTAGTTCAAGCATGTTTTTTTGTTTTAATAGAAAATTTGAAATAGATATTGGTATTCAAAATGGTCATATAGAATTCTTATGTGCAGGTTATTGAATTATTTTGCCCCAATACTTTTGATTTTGGCATTGAAGAAACTTTTAATAATGCAAATACATAGATGATTTTCTAGATTAGTGGCTTGCCTTACAAACTTTACCAATGTGTCACTTTCCTGTGCTTAGGCTGTGGCAAGCAGATTAGATGAAAATAACAATATTTAAATTAGTACTTATAAAAAAAAATAATAGAAAAGGTAATACTTATCATCCTGCTGCCATAAAATACCCTTCTAAAATGCTATTCCTCTCAAAGTACTATGTTTACATTCACATCACACAACCAAGAGCACTCAAAGTCCAAAGACTTGCAGTCAAAGTGAAGGGAAATGCTGTTTGCTTTTAAGAGTTTGCTTTGACTATCTTCAGCGATTTTTCAGGATTATCTTTGGTGACATTAAATTTACTGTCTCAAAGTTTCAAAGTCCTGCATGATGCATCTCCCTTTACTACAGCTGCATTTATTGCAATTACCCCATGAGGAAGTAATCCAGTATGTTAAACTTTTAAAACAATCCCCAGTTTTTTGCAAAACTGCAAAATAGATCCCCATAAAATGAATTTTTATAAAGTTGTGTGTATTATACAAACACCGTGCTTACTTGATAAAGAGCCAAACTTTGAAAAAGGAAGTGAGGCACATGAATAACAAATTGAATAGGCACAGGCTTTTTCAAAAGGCACAAATGTTATGCAATTCATATAAAAATAAATTAAATCTACATCATTAATTCAAACAATCACAACGCCCATAAAATTTACTAACTGCAGAAGTAAACCTCTGCTGTCTTTTGCAATTTTGTAAAACATTGCACTTAGGAAAAAAAACTTATATAAAAGAACTTAAATGTTAATAATACATGATACATGGGCATCAAGTTACATTTCCTTTATACATCTCTAACTCAGCTGGTTTTGTGTGAGTGGATAGAAGAACTACATGAGACTGTGTCTTTAAGTACTGGCAAATAAAGAATCTGAAAAATGCATATTACTTATGGAAGGCTCAAACATTTCTTACTTGCTCTCCTACATTTTTAGGTTTAATGTTTACAGTGTAACATAGAATTTCATACTTTCATTACAACTATGGATTACTATTTTGACTTCATCTATATAAATTTACTAAAACTTCAACATATTTTCCCAGATATTGAATATGATCATTTACAGACAGTGTTGACGTTAACTTCAGTGCTATTATAAAGTAATAAAAGTAATTGCAAAATGACTTTTAAAAGTGCACTTTCTGTTCTGTAGTTCAGTCTCAAAATAGGACAATGAAAAAAAAATAATGTATGTTAAAATAGTGTTTGAAAAGTAGACAGGGCAGAGTGAGCTTCTTGCCTTCCTTTGATCCGATGATTTTCACAGGTGCATCAGCAGTCTGCCATATACCGTCCTGAAAAATAATAGTTTTTTTACAGCTGGTAGATAAAACAGATTTTGTCAGTATTTTCCAGAGAGCAGTCTGAGTAACTAGGGAAAACCAAAAAACAGTCTTCCACAATGTTTTAATGAAAAGTACCTATTTACGCATCACTTATAAAACAGTTTCATATTTTATAATTTAACACTATAGAATATATAATGCTAATATGTAAGTCTGTCAGTGTCTTACCAGTGGCAAATCTCTTCTTAAGGAGGGAAAGCCGATAGCCAGTGCCTACAAGCTCTACATCTACTCCTGAAAGGGTGCTTCCTTCACTAATGAATTGCACTGCAAGTGTTGCTGGTTTACTGGGTCCCTCTGAAAGTTCAAATTTTGCCCTGAGGGATCCAGAACCTATAAAAATAAGAAAACTGAAAAGCTGGTTGTTTTGTAAGAACAACATGATCTCACAAAATTTTCAGTAGTTGGAAGTGAAACTAACATGGTTACCTTTGAGACTTATTCCTAGTGGCAGTCCTACACAAACTTTACAAATAGTTGAGAGTACTTGTCTGATTTTTCCAATACTCTGTTTAAGACAAGTTTTGTTTTGTTTTTGTTTTTGCAAGTTTATACATAATGTGTGTATCAGACAGCCTGGTAATCTCTTAGTACTTGAAATACCTGATTGGTCCCTATAATCATCATTTATGCTTGCTGGTCTGTAAGTACTTAAAGTCACCTATCTTGTACGTAGTACTTTTCATTAGCAGATTTAACAGTACATCAGAGCATTGAAATGTTGTCACGATCTGTTTGGATGAATGTACATGACAAAACCAATGAAAGAAATGCAGCTGTACAGTAATGTACCCAGAGAAATTACTATTTTTCTAATAAAGACAAGGTCTAATTAAATACATCCCCCCCCCAAATTTCAGTTGAATTTTCAAAGACAGTGCTGAGGTCTCGTCACTTCAATGATATTATAAAGCAGTATTAGTTCAAGATTACTTTAAGTACATTTCTGTAGTCAATGCAAGGCATTTAGAAAAACTCACTACATTGTCTTTTCTCTAGTTCTCAAACAAGTCTTTTCTCATCCTTGCAAAATATGCTGGGGAAAATGAGATTTAAATAATTAGTAAGAGAATAAAAAATGGAAAGAAAGTGTTTTTACTTCTTTAAAACATCTTGCTATTCTTTGTCAGCAGAAACTGCTAAATGACAAGGAAATTTAGTAACTGAAATGTTACGGGGTAAAAGCAGGAATTAACAATTGAAATTGTTTATGCAATGGCTTGTTCTTGATAAATTTGACTTAAGGTCATTTTCATTTCTTCAGTAGGTCTGCCACAGTTTGGGTAAACTCTACCTGCTTTCCCCTGTAAAAAGGGGAAAAAACTCAAATATTTGAAATATTTGAAAACTCAAATATTCAAGTGCTTTGAAAGTTTGTTCTGTGTTTTATCTCTAATGGCAATTGACAGCTTGCATAACATGTACCATAAAAAAACCACAAAACATTTTAACACCGTGTACACCAGAATAAAGACTTCAAGACATTTGTTCTAATATCAGCAGTGTTTGTGCAACTTTTCCCTTTGTTTCTGTAAGTGTAAGACCAGCATAGTATTAAACACTGAACTGTGAGTACTATGTGTTCATACTCAAAGATGGTGGGAAGAGAATACAGCTGAAACAGCAGAATACATGTGAGTCTGCTGAATACACACGAGATGAAATCAACATCACCGGCAGCCCATTTTATGCTGTTTTCTGTACAGAAAAACAAAACAAAAAAGTTCAACTTACCTCTATTCTCTGACTTCTCTGAAATGCTAGATATTTTCCAATATGCTTTCATCTGGTCTGCATTCCTGTAAGAGAATGGTAGGTAAGTTATAAGCACTGATTTTTAGCATATTATTTCCCTAGATTTACAGACTTAACATTTAAGTGTATGTTACAGACAGCTCTAAACAGAGGTTTATAAAAATACTTCATCATTTTAAGGTAAGTTTATGGAAAACTATACGAATCAAACAGGAAAAGAGATGCGTATGTCTACATTGCCCCAGAGCAGCAAAGCTCAGATGTACACACCACCTTTTATACAGTTGACACTGCCCTATGCCCTGGCTATGGCTCCATAACTGGGAAGTCTCTGTGGTTGCAAGGGTTAAGGGCAGCCCTAATGCTCTGGAAGCAGTTTGAAAGCTGTATCTTTATGCTTTGTGATGACAGTATGAGGGGGAGCAATGTTGATTGCTGTTGAGACTCCTGGCAGCGTGAATTTTATTCCATTTCCATTTTAGTAAAACCAGTTGGAATAAGTGATACACAGTTTAAGGTAAATTCTGACACTGTAAAGGGGCAGAAAAGGCCACCAAACACAAGAGTTTCTAAGCTGAGAGGGCATTTTAACTCCTGGAGCACTTTGCAGTCATTCCATCAAAGGGAAGTCAGCAACGTAAAGCTGTAAGCAGCATGAAGTGCTGATAGGTTTGAAATTGCTTTTGGCATTGGCATAGCAGGAGTGAAATGCTCACATGAGTAGCGTAGATGGTAGAGGTTTCTTGCAGAAGGTCAAGGTATAAAATGTTTATTTTTAAAAGAACAAAAATGCACCACCCAATCACTGCCCTTGCTTAGAATAAACTGAAGATGATTTGGTTAAAAGTATTGCTACCTTGAAATACCAAATCAAGAAAGATTCAGTCTTGCCAGGATTTTTACCACTTAAAATGATACTGTACTACTACTTTGTCCAATTAACACAATTAAATGTATTGCCTTCAGAAACATCAGAACCTATCTGATTTATTTATTTTTGGAACTTTGCTTTATATGGTAAACTCGTCTATAAGTAACAACGTTAACAAAGCCCAACTTCCTTCAACTTGGTATACTTTGCCCTCTTCATGTTAAAAAGACGCCTTTGGAAATAAACAGTCCAGGAATTATGTTACAGCTGGGCAAGTGCCTATGTGCTGCCAAACCACAGGCGCAGCGGTTGAATTCTGCTTATCTTTTGCTCCAAGGGAGCACTGCTCTGCCTCGTCCAACTACGCTCTGCTTGTTTCCATAGACCTGTAGAAACATAATTACCTGAGATCTGTCTCTCACTTTCAAGTGCTACTGTCTTAGAAGGTGGTTGCAGGTAGCTGTTAGTCAGATGATAATCTGAATGATGCTTGAAGAGAAGGACAGTGCTTCCTGGCTAATGAAGAGCTCCTCAGTTACTGAGGTTTGTTTTAAAACCATTTCAATTAGAAGCTAATTTTTAAGCTAGAACAATCAAGAAATCTTTTAAAGTACTACATTTCTTCTACTCTCTATATAACTCATATATATGGATATATTTGTACAAACACACACATAAAATGCTTTTAAAACATTAAGAGATTGTGGTTTCAAATTACTGTATTAAAAATGTCTATCTTGTCTATTGGCCAAAAGAAGGCAAACACTGGAAATTTCATAAAGGCGCAGTTGGAATGGGTGCATATAATCTCATTTTAGTTTACATGAATTGGCTGCACATGATCTGTTTCAGACCAGAAAATACCCTAAACATCTGATACTATGCATTTTACCAAGACAAAAAAATAAGCTGTTTCTTCCATTGACATTTTTAAGACTGTCTATGACACCAATGAATACACCAAAATGAATCTGAAATAATAAAAAGAAAAGTATTAATATTACCATTTTGCAGGTGGAAGTGAATGCATGTTTGTTACTCCTCCATCTACTGGTACCACAACCTGGACATTAGACAGCATACTAGGCACATTCATAGACTCTGGATTATATTTATAATCCACTCTCACGTCAGTAGTGCTAGCATTACATTTCCAGTAAGTTGCAAGATTCAAGGGAGTGGACTGGATACCATTTGAAGACACCTGTAAAAGAATAAACCATTGAAAGCAGCTTAATTAAAATATTCCCCTTTTGGGCAGAATTAGGGAATGATGGTAACAAATACAACTCTGAATCCTGACAAAAGATCAAAAGAATAATTGACCTCTGAGTCCTTAATCACAGAATTCTGAAGACTGTTACAGCCTAAAGTAACTAATGTTCTTTAAATTACAATAACTAAAGAAAAGGTTTAAACTCTCTCTGTGCCGTAAGGCTCCTTCCTGTTCTGGCTTTTTTAAGTCAAAATAGTTTGGTTTAGTCTTGTGTTCTGCCTCACACAAGAAACATGCATGTGGCAAAATGACTTCATCCTTAGCAGTTGTGTACCATACCAATTCAGCTGCCCAAGCAGCTAGCAGCAGAGGACAATACTTGCCATTATGGGACAGGCAGCCAGGCGTTATTTTCCTGCTGCAGGAGGCTTGGATGCTGCTACTTCTGTAGCTGAGCTTGTACTACTGCCCCGCTGTGTATCTGCCACCTTCCTAGTCTACCTGAGGAACCTCTGTCCTGGTGCTTCCTCTCGCCTTTCCTTGGCAGCCCAGAATCTTTTCTGTCTGCCAGAGCTTCCACATGCCAATGCCTAATTTTTTCCCGACAGTAAAGATCTTAAATAGATATAATTTTTCCACAGTACTAATTTCTGCAATCCAAAGAAATGTTTTGTTCCTCCCATCTGTCTCAGCAATTCTGTGTATCTAACATGCTTTTTCTAGATTCAGTATGCCAAGATTTTAAAATATATTAGAAGGATGTGCAAACTGCAATGGTATTACAAGCATGTTTTTTCATGTAGATGGTTGTTCTCAGACATTCAACCATTTCAATGCAGGCCTAAAAAAAGTTTTTACCTGATACTTTAAAACATCCACATTGTAATAGGATGCAGATGGATTCTGCTCTGATAATTTCTTGAGGTAGACAGTTATAGCTTGCATGTTCATCCAAAAATCCTTAGTACTGGAGTCACTTTGTGACTGATCACTACGAAGAAAAAGAAAGGTAAGAGTCAGAAGGCAATACTCAGTTTTATTATTTTGGATGTCTAAAAATAGAGATTAGATATTTCCCCTTCTTCACTATTTCAAGCAAGAATTTGTTCTAATGCTTTATAACACATAACTGTGCCTTCCTAAATACTAAGACAAATTAACTGCTGCTTGTATCTGGGAAAAATTTTCATTTCAGGTTGTGGAGCAGTGAGTTTCCTCCACTGATGATCTGCATCACAAGATGGAGTTAAAGCTGAATTTGGATTTTACAATTAATAAAACACAATTATAATACAATTAGGTGCCATGAAGATGTGTGGGAGGTGGGGATAAAAGTGGCATTTGAAAAAGAATGTTATGCAATTTTGAATTAATCCTAAAATCATAATTAGCTTTGGTTATCACACAGCTTCACTAATGCACTGAATTATGATTTGTGCTGTATGTGTTACCACACTTTCATATATTTGTACAGTGTTAGCTTTCCAAATTTTTTCAATTAAAGGTTATTTTCAAATTATTATAAACAATTGCTTCTCCAATACTTATAGCTGGATTCAATCTTAGTAACAATTCATGATATCACTTCTATGTGTAGGTAAGAGCGCAGATGACTGCAGAAGCAAAATCCTGTTTGGGAGCTACTGGAGCATAGTGTTCTGCAGATCAATATTTTCAGCTCTGGCTGTATAGGCTTATTTTGAGTAAGGATGAAGCTGTTAAGAAAACTGATTTAAAAGCAAAATTCACATCCCTTAAGAATCAAAGACCTCCTCTGAGTGTCTGTGGATACGGTGAGTAACCACATCCATCCCTAAGGAGGAGTGCAGAATGTATCTACAGAGTGAAAGCTGACCACGAGCACAAGGAACACAGTAAATGACTGCAGTGGATTGGATGTCCTAGGAGAGCGACTTACATACCACAAGTCTGTCCATTTTACTTAGAATTTGACTCAGTACACTTGTGTGATTAATGAAATTTCTATTTTCAGTAAAATATATTGATAAAACACTTACCACCACAGAGGCCTTCCACAATTTAAGAAAGTGAAACCAGCAGTAAAATCTTTCTGCTGCTCCACTACCAAGTGCAATTCAAATTAGAAATTCTTATGTCACCAGAAATACCACTTACTAAAAATTTTTCTCTCTATAAATACCAAGCAAACTATACCCCTTGCAGTATATGATGAAAAGTTAAATTATTAGCATACAGGTTTAACTTCATAAATATCCATTACATGCATCCATTCTAATTAGAGGTGAAGTGTTACATCACTCAGACAAGGATACCAGATATTTCCACTTTTTTTTGCAAAATATTTTTCAGTATATTTAATTCTGTCAGATACAGCTCTGCTCACATTTCAGTTATAAACTCTCACGTCAAAAAGCGATTTAACTTAATTTTGCATGAATCATTCATTACATTAAGTATGATCAGAATTAAATACAAAAGAATGGATGCATATGGTTTGATTATTTTAGTAATTTAAAAATTGGAGCATTTAAGAGCATTTAACTTATTTTCAAATAATTTTCAGAAAAATTACATGGAAACTGCTCAGCTGAAACACATCTCTGCTAAATAGTTACAGCTTTTATAACTTTTTTTTAAAGCATCCCCAAGTGCTGTGATTTCAACAATTATCCTACTCAATCAGCAGCCTTTTTTGTTAACGAGTTCTCCCAAATATGCCTGCTACACAGCTAAGAGGTAGTTATGTAACAGATCTGATCTACTGTAGAAATCATGCAGCTTAAAAATACACTAGTGAGTGACAAATGAGATTAGGTGTAGCTCCTACTACTTGTTTTCCATTTAAGGCTACTGTTTCATTATTTAATCTTACCATTGTTACTACTGTATAAAGAAATAATTTATAAAACGCATGTAAAAACACAGCTACATTTACAAACTATTTTTTACGGCTCCTGTTCTACTCAGCACAAGTTTCAAGTCCAGTAAGTAGTCACTGATACTTTTAATGGCAGCAGTGGAGAGAACTGAGATGAACAAGATTAATTCAGGAAATAAAATAATGTATAAGCAAATCAACAAGACTGTAGAGAATTCTAGTTTACAAATACAACAACTCGCATTCTACAAATCATGTAGTTTACTATTATATTAAAAAATACAAAACCTGTATACAAGTTGTGCATTTGGAAGAATCTGCTCTAGTTTGCTTGTGTTTTTTACCCTGAAGCAGAGTACAGCTGGAGATGGGTTGCTGGTGAAGACTTTAATAATCCCACTTGGGAAAGATACAGTCATATCACCAGTAATCTTCACAATGCATCTAGAAAAGAATGAAAACATCAGTTTCATTGCCATTTCATCACTAGTTTTAATACTAATTTTAAAAGAATCACTGTACTCTCACAATCTGATGAACTGAATTAAAAACAGAAAATCAATTTCAAATGAGGGTAATGTGGCACTGTGACAATGTACTATCACTTTCAACTTGGAAGTCAGATGAAATAAGTAAAGAAAAGTTCATCTGGTTAAGCATACAGTAGTCTCAGTGGGTATTTTTCAGGCTTTGAAAACATGACAACTGTGCTTAGGCACGGCCTAAGTAGCATAGCAAGGGATGTGGCAGAGGAATGAGGTGCTTTTAACCACCCAAATTTACATTTAGCACCTACCTGACTATGATAAAAACCCTTCTCGTTCTCAGTGTTCTCATGGAACACATCTTAGTAAAGCTGGGATATACAAACTCCTCATGGGATGCAGGCCAGTACAATAAGTTACTGTTGTAACTTCTACCATGGAACCACCCCATCCCACCTTTGAATCTCCCTTATAATGTATATACATTTTCCCCAAAAATATTAAAAGGAAAACTAATGTGTTTTCTTATTGTAACTTATTACATTCAAAACAATTCACTATTTAACTAACTTTGTGGGATCTGCTCCTTTAAAGTAGGCGTTAACAGACTCAGTAAGGGCTACTGCAACAGGCAAGGTGTCCTGGTTTCCAAGGCTGACAGGGCTGGGACCACGTGAAACACCTAGAATACATATAGTGTATAGGTTTAATTTTGAAAAAGCTTAGCAACAGACTTCAGAATGGTTAACTACATCTGTAATTTTGACAAGAGGTTGCCACCATCAAGGTCACAGTAGCATCTGAATTATTACTTGAAAAGTGTGTAGACAAATATGAACATAGTACAGTACAATCGCACCATCAAAACACTGCTTAGCAGCCTAAGAGAACAGGACTATCAGTATGCCATTATGTAAATGGACAGACACAAGGAAATACATATGAGACAGAAGAACGCTGAATTAGAATGCCTACTGATGAAAATGAAGTCAACAGATTGAAAGGAAATTAGACATTGAGTAGAATACTTAAAAGACGAATCCCTACTGTATGCTTATTTTATGGAAAAAAGTATGATAAAATGATCACAGAAATGAAAAGAATTCATTTAGAGTACACAAGAACTTATAAGCAAATACATTAATATCACCCCACATAAGTGAACCATTGAACATTCTTTGAGCTATTTCAGTCAAAGATTACAACTCCCAAGTGGAATTTGTTGGACAAACCTTTGTAGATGCCTGTGCCAACACAGCACAGTTCCAATGCATAGCTATAAAAATGAACTCAGACCTCATGCTAAGGCTTTTTGAAATGCCTGTGTACAATTGATGACACCTGTTGTCATGGGATTTTACTTCACACCAATTTTCTACATGTGTACTGAATATAAAAGCCAATACTGGAAGTTTGGGGGTTTTTATTAGTTCAGCAGCACAGTGGAGAGCACCTTACTGATTTTTTGTACCACTGCTGAAATGGCCCGTATCACATAACATTATCTATCACAAAGGAGGCACAACCTTTCTTGTTTCATGAGCAATTATTCTTCCATGCCATAAAGTAGAAACAAAATGCTTCTGCATAATATTGCTCATGGCAAACTAATCCTATTTACTGTAAAACAGTGGCTATGCCTTCTGAGCTTGTTCAGAAGCAAAAAGGAAGTTTGGAACTTGTTCTTCACAGAAGGACTAACATTTTATATTAAATTCAGAGTTAAGTGAAAGAAGTATTAAAAGGAAGAGAGTAAAACAGAGCGGCTGGTCTAATTCTGCTCTCTCATACCTCACTCTCCATCATGACTTTTTGCCTAAGGTAGTAAAATGTTCAGAATAATTCTCAGCACCATGAAAAAAACCTTAGTGCAACATTTAAGCCTTCTTAGATCCTTAGATCAAAAGTGATACTCTAGTAACAAGTGTACAAAAATTCTTAGATGAATGAAATATTATGATGTTGGCCACAAAACACTGATTTATTTTTTCAATATGAACAATAGGTTGTTTTTATTCTTTCAGACAATACATGGGTCATGACTCCAAAGTTTTTTCTCTCCCTGAAAAATACCAATAAAAGCTGTGATTCTCAATAGTCTCAGAAATCCAGAAATCATGATTTCAAGAAGCAAGTGTGCAATAAAATAATGACTTAACAACAATCAGAAATCCTGTTTGATGAAATAATGAACTCCAGAAGTATTCTCCACTGAAGCAAAATGTGCATTACTCTGCTCTGGTGAGACCCCCACCTGGTGCCCTGCATCCAGCTCTGGAGCCCTCAGCACAGGAAAGACATGGACCTGTTGGAGGCAGAGGAGGGCCATGAAGATGATCAGAGGGCTGGAGCACCTCTGCTATGAGGACAGGCCGAGAGAGTTGGGGTTGTTCAGCCTGGAGAAGAGAAAGCTCCAGAGAGACTTAATTGGACATTTCAAGTACTTACAGGGAGCCTATTGGTAAAAGACAAGCAGACCGATTTCTTGACTGAAGAGTGAAGTTTATTAGGAAAAATAACACTAATTTTACCTTTTTTTTTTTGGGGGGGGGAATACCAAAGCAAATATATATCTACACATATACTTCTCTGAGATATATTTGAGGAACTACAAATGAGATGCATAGAGCTGTGCCAAGGAGGCCTCACTGCATCGCAGGCTGCAGCCCAGCTTAAAGGTCCAGTTCTAGCACCTTCGGCAGTGTCAGC